TGCATGGCAGGTGCATGGCAGGTGCATGGCAGGTGCATGGCAGGTGCATGGCAGGTGCGTGGCAGGTGCATGGCAGGTGCATGGCAGGTGCGTGGCAGGTGCGTGGCAGGTGCATGGCAGGTGTATGGCAGGTGTAGAGAGGAGAAGCAATAGCAAGAAAAATATATATAAATGAAGCACAATAAAGCGTACAATGAAGAGCTTCAGACTATATACATACAATGAAGCGGGGACAAAGATACTTAAATATCAGGCGTAAAAACCGTAGACTTTCTCCAGTGAATTGTTTTCTATAATTAATTTTAGGCGACACTGTTTTAATTTAAGCGTCCGGGTTGGTTCTAGTTTATTCAGGGACTAGTCGTGGTCTGCTTTCGTACGCAAATGTTATAACGTGTACATGTTATGTGCACCGTACCAATGTGACAACGTGTGCACATCTAATGTGCACACCTTCTATCAGCATTATTATACCGGAATAAAATATTAAAGTATTTTTTTCAATATTGCAACACTCCCTCCACCTTATTTGTAACACACGGAAAGAAATTGATACTTGATTCATCAGAAGTGGACCAGAATCTTTTACCTGGCCCCATCCCACGCCCCGCTGGCCCCATCCCACGCNAACTGTCCCCACTGCATCACCATCATGCTGATGTATCACCTTCATCACCCACCAGTCAGGTCATGGTCCAGGAACTGTCCCCACTGCATCACCATCATGCTGATGTATCACCTTCATCACCCACCAGTCAGGTCATGGTCCAGGAACCTGTCTCTTATACACATCTAGATGTGTATAAGAGACAGCCACTGGCCCCACCCACTCACCCCGTCGCAGGTTCAGGAACTGCTGGCCCCATCCCACTCCCCACTGGCCCCACCCACTCACCCCGTCGCAGGTTCAGGAACTGCTGGCCCAGGATGCAGGCGAAGGTTGGCCCCACGAGGCCGTACACGACGGGCTTCTCTGCGAGGCCTCCGGTGAACAGGTCCACGTCATTCACGTCACTGGGGGAAAAGTGGGTGACGTGTGGTGAACATGTTTGTTTAATGGCAGGAGCATCTCGATTGCCTATTAATAACATAATAAAGTCTCGCTCTTATTTTAACATTGTAATTTAATTTAGGAATCGATTAGGATCAAGTTGGCAAATTTAGTTTCGTCACAGCCTGCAGATAGCAGAAGCTGTTCAGCGGTCTTGCACTCGCGGATTCAATTGTGGAGCAGATTGAATGGTTAAATATCGACATTCTGCTCCAGGTTGCGTAATGAATTGAAAATTACGGTTTTTAGGTTAAGTTAGTTGTAAGTTGTAGGTAACTTTCAGCCCCATCAATTGTGATCAGCCTGCATACTTACCTGTACACAGCAGCCAGCCTGCCCACAGTATACTGACCTGTACACAGCAGCCAGCCTGCCCACAGTATACTGACCTGTACACTGCAGCCAGCCTGCCCACAGTGTCATCATCCATGACCTGCAGCAGTTCCCCCCAGTTAGCGAAGCGGTGCAGGCCGCACTGCTCCCGCCAGACGTTGTAGGCCGGCAGGCCGTGGTCCCGACCCCGCTGGATGTTGATGGCAGCCAAGTCCATGCCGAAGTGGGTGCCTGGGGGGGGGAATGGGGGGTAATGGGGGAAAATGGGCACCGAAGTGGGTGATGGAGCGAGGGGAGAATGGGGAAATGGGGGTAATGGGCACTGAAATGGGTGCTGATGTTGGGGAGAATGGAGGGTAATGGGGATAATGGGTATTGAAGTGGGTGAAGGAGCGAGGGGAGAATGGGGGGTAATAGGGGTAATGAGCATTGAAGTGGGTGAAGGAGCGAGGAGAGAATGGAGGTAATGGGGGTAATGGGTATTGAAGTGTGTGCAGAAGTTGGGGGAGAAAGGAGGGTAATGGGGATTATGAGCGCCGAAGATAAGAAGCGCTGAAGTTGGGGGAAAATGGGGGTAATGGGGGTTATAGGCACCAAAGTGAGTGCTGGAGTTGGGGGAAAATGGGGGTAATGGGGGTAATGGGCATTAAAGTGGGTAAAGGAGCGAGGAGAGAATGGAGGTAATGGGCACTGAAGTGGGTGCAGAAGTGTGAGGATAATGGGGTATAATTGGGGAGGACAATGAGCTGAGAAGTGGATGTGGTTGGGGAGTGGGGGATAATGGAAGAGTATGGGAGATAATGGGCTCCCAAGAGGGTGCCATGATTTGAATAAAGGAGGATAATGAGAGATGGGAGAAAGATAACTATTTTGAATAGGACAAGAAATGAACTGGGAGTACAAGTTATGAATATGGAAGAAGATTAATGAATAATGAACGAAAATTAATCTTGTTGCATATCAAAAGTCGTAGTCCTATAATCTGCGCTGGCCTAGGCCAAACTCCAGCCTATATATTACATCGCTGAGTTTTGCTGCTAAATATGGCGTTGCTATGTCGCCTACAGGCCGTATCACACCATTCTGCAAGTCACGGTCCAGTCTAATATTCTTTAATGCATTTCCATAGAAGAATTCACACCATGGATATGGCAGGCCGGTGCCTTGCACGGTTGGTGTGAATGCTTCTATAGAAATGCATTAAAGAATATTGAACTGGACCGTGACCGGCTCGTGCTCGACAGTGTTGGCTGAAGCCTGCCTTATTGTATTTAGTTACAAAGCTATACACAGGGCTCTTCCCACAGGGGTCACTCGTTTGCTTGAATCGCAAATTCACTAAGAACTTAAAAGCAAAGAAAACTCCACAAAATTTATAGTATATTTAAAGAAAACGTTTCGGAGTCCAGCTCCATCGTCAGTTCGAAAATTCTAGAACACAGATAAATCAGTAAAGCAAATGGCAGTCCAGTCGTAAACGCGAGAGTGAGTGGATGTGCGATAACTTTACCAGGAACGACGAGAAAATGCAACGTGTTTGGTCACATTTTATCGAAGAAGGTGACTTCCTCTCATCTTTAATTACACAACAGGATTTCAACGCAAAAGTTTTGTTGTCGACCTACAGTGAATATAGTTTTGTGTTATGTGAAGCCGTCATTCAGTGTGCCGCAAACCTGCCCCTTAACTAACCTAACCTAATCATTTATTAGGTAAATTACCCCTGGACTATGAGAATAAAGTGAGCATAGCAGGACTCTAGACGCGGATACCCCATAGACACACCATTGTACGGGCAACACACACTCCAACAGCGGGCAGATTCTTCAGACTAAAATGTAACAACCTTCTTAATTGTCAGGTGAGATGTTATCGAGACTTCTGAGGTAAAGGTTGCGATCTTATTGCGATCACTTTAATGCCCTGTGGAGTGTTACGTGGGCAAGGCTTTATAAGCCGTCACGTAATGGGGGAAAATGGTCATGCTAAGTCAAGCTCAGGCATTGCTCAGTTAAGCTAATGTCTCATGCAGTAAGGCATTGTTCAGTTAAGCCAATGTCTCAGTGAGGCATTGCTCAGATAAGCCAATGTCTCAGTAGAGTTCCTCCGGCACGCACCGCCTTCTCGTTAATGTACTGCAAAATTCCGGCGATCTGACAGTTATTGTGTAAAAAAAAGGTATACTGTATAAAAAACCTGTAAGCATGAACTACAACCATCAGTTTAGTACTTAATCACGGTTGGTATAACTACCAACTATGAATGACTATAGAACCCGATGGACCTGCGGGGCGAGTCGTGTGGTGAACTGTCTACCAATGTGGATGTCCGACCAGCTCCATGCATGCCACGGTCTATGCTTGATCATACCCCACACAGTCACATACTATCTCTTCATCACGCCCCTATCATGCCCCATAATGCCATAGAACCCACTGGGCATCTGGAAGAGTCGGTTGGTGAGCTCGTCGGTGATGTAGACGTCGCGACTCTGGGATCGCTCGAAGGCCATGCCCAGCATGAGGCGGTCGACGCTGCCGAAGTTGTGGATGTTGGAGGGATTCATGAGCTCTTGGTGCAGCTTGATGGCTGGGGACGCGTGGAGAGTCCCGTTAAAACCAGGCAATAATGCACAGAACTTCAGAAGAGAAGCTAGGACAGCAAATAAGAGGAAAAGACAAGGGGAATTCCACAGATATTTAAGGACGAAAGTGAGGATAACCCTGGAGATGCAACAGATGGAAGACTGAAAAGGATATCCAATGAAGGGAAGAAAGATGAAGAAAGAGAGAACGACTAGGAGAAATGTATGAAGGGGAAACAAGGAAGTGACCGAACGAAGGAGTCAAGACAAGCTTGGAATAAAATGGACGAAAGGAATGGTGAAAAAGCGCACAAGATAAACGAAAGGTCAAATGTCAAGATGATACAGCTTGCTTATAAGACAAGATGGCGGAACCGATAAAGTGGATGTAGCAGTTCCTTGTGGGATAAGTTAAGATAAGATAAGCAGTTCCTTCGACCTGCATGGTTTCGAAGCTGGATAAACAAGGGCTGTAGGTGATGCGTTAAATAGAAGAGCATGAATCCCTCAGTGGAATTAGAAAAGAAGGTTGGAGCTTCAAGTTGAGATTCATCGAGTACAGGTTCATGTACAGATTAAATGAACTAGAGGATATACTTCTTATAACCTCTACCGTTATTTGGTCATGCTGCTGGAAGCGTCACCGTTTTCACCACCACTCACTGAACGGGAAACGTCGTCCCGTTATACTTCCACTCACTGAACGGGAAGCAACGTCCCGTTTTATCGCCACTCACTGAACTGGAAACAACGGACCATTTCACCACCACTCACTGAACGGGAAACGACGTCCCGTTTTATCACCACTCACTGAACAGGAAACAACGTCCCATTTCACCACCACTCACTGAACGGGAAACGACGTCCCGTTTTATCACCACTCACTGAACGGAAAACGACGTCCCGTTTTATCGCAGCGAGGCAGCGAGTGCTGCAGAAGGCTGTGGCCGAAGCGGAAGGCGGCCGCGCCAACGGAGTTTGTGATCGTCGGGTTGACGGTTGCCTTGTAGCCGCGGTAGTACCCGTGCCGTTGTAACGGTAACCGGAACACCTTCATTACAGTAGGCCCTGTAACGAGAATATTTATTAATGAACAAATAAGACAGTACCCATACTTACGTACCCAAGCTAAGGTATTCTCTAAAAGAATTTGAATTTGGGCCCGACTCTGCACCGAGTGCCTCCCAGAACTAGCAAAGCACGTAAATCAGCCACTACTGTCACCCACCACTGCATCACCACGCTCTCAGCCTTAACAAAATTTAGAGGAGTGCGCGACCCTGCATTGGGACCGCCTAGGACTCGGGGAGCACGTAAATCAGCCGCTCTATGTCCGCTTCGACACAAGGTTCGTCGGGCAGCCTCTGGGCAGCTTGCTAGTTCGGTATGACTCGGCTTGGTTAACCCTTTTCATACTCTAAGGCGACTATAAAGTCGGAAAGGAGATTCTGACCAGAAACCGATTTCGATTGGTTGACCAAGCAAACCCAGAATACCTTTGCGCCGAGTGTAGTAACTATTCGACCGAAGCTTAGGTGGTCCCCAAATTTTGTTGACGCCAGGACACATTTGTAGTACGCTCAGGACACGTTTAATTGTGTTACTCTCAGGGCGCTATAAAATTTAAATTGAGATTCTGACCAGAAACTGATTTTGCTCGGGTAGCCAAGTAGACCAAAATGACTTTGCGCAGAGTGCAGCTACTCTTTAGCAGTAGAGCAGCCTAGTCGGCCTAGTTAGTCCTGGTTCCAGAATTTTGTTAGGGTTATGCATGAACTGAAGCACCCAAATGCAGTAACGTATCTCACGAACCCAACACGTGCCCTAACGTGCCCCAACGTATCCCCTAACGTGCCCCAACACATACCCTACCGTGCCACAACGTACCCAGGACGGCGGGGAGCCACTCCCCGTACGTGATGCGCTGCATGGCGGCCGCCACCACCTGGCGGGCTTCGAAGAAGAGGCGGTCGTCGTTCCAGTGCGGGTTGACCGCCGCCAGCTCCACCGCCACGCGGTTGTGCTCCCGCAGCCACAGCGTGTGCATGCCGGCCAGCGCTGTGTTTAATTGACTCATTAGCTGTTAGTGAGCTCATTATCGTGAATTAATTGTTTGGTAATTAGCAGGAGTTACCCGTTGAATAATTGGAACTTTAGCCAACTAAAGGAAAAAGAAGATTTTGAGTAGGTTTAAAGCAGTTTTATAATAAGGATTTGGAGCAGATTTGGAGAAGGTTTAGAGCACATTTGGAGGTTTAGAGCACATTTGGAGAAGGTTTAGAGCAGATTTGGAGAAGGTTTAGAGCAGATTTAGAGACGGCTTAGAGCAAATTCGGAAACTGTTTAGAGAACGTTTGGAGAACGTTTAGAGCAGATTTGGAGAAGGTTTAGAGCAGATTTAGAGAAGGCTTAGAGCAGATTCGGAAACTGTTTAGAGAACATTTGGAGAACGTTTAAAGCAGATTTGGAGAAGGTTTAGAGCAGGTTTAGAGAAGGTTCTGGCATGCCTGCCGAATACCACCAAGTTTGCAGCAGGATTTAAACCACCACAACCGGTTAGCGGCTGATTTGGAGCAGGGATTTCATTTATATAATAAGAGAATTGAAAAGTGACTTGTCTGCCCTTTACCTGCTCTTAAAATTTTACATGAGTAAGAGAGCCTCACGCATTAGAACATTATGACATATAATATATACAATGTACATATATGTTTTTTTCAAACTCTATTTAGATAAAAAAAATTAAAACCTGTCTAAACCTAACCCCTGCAACCCTAACCCTAACCACACGTCAAAAGGCATGTCGCACAATTGCATTCAACTTTTCGGTGTCGCACAATTGAGCATAAACCAATTATCGAAAATATAGCACTACGTGATTTTCGTCGCATTATGCGACCTCGCGTTGCAGAAATCCCTCAAAATTGTCTTACAATTATCCGAATTTATACCCGTATAAATAAATTTATTTCAACTGCATTCATGAAGCCTGGCACCAACGAGTACAATTCAAAGGGGATGTCTGCCCGAGGGGACTTGACCCACCTGGCTGCTCGTTGACCCACCTGGCTGCTCGTTGACCCACCTGGCTGCTCGTTGACCCACCTGGCTGCTCGTTGACCCGCCCGTCCCCCGCGTGGAAGCAGTGCAGGTTCCTTGAGTTCTCCCGACACTCCCCCTCCACAAACCCCTCGAGGGGGGGGAGGAGGGGCTTCCTGAACCGCACCGGCTTGTAGCGCAGCATCCCTGTATATTTTTAGTGTCATTACTATTATTATTTATTTGTACGTTTGTATTGTTGTTTATTGTTCAGTTCAAGTCATTGTCATTCACAGGACTCAAGACGGTATCGGCGTACATTGTTGTGTTATTATCATTATTATTTATTTGCGCTTTTGTAATATTGTTGTTTATTATTCAATCATTATCATTATTAGTATATTCTTATCTTATTATCAGAGCCACTGACCGCCCTCCCAGAGCCGCAGCTGCGCCATCTCGCGGTCGTCGGAGCCGTAGACGTTAGAGGCGTCTATGTACCCAGTGACCTGCCGGGGGTACAGTCAGTGGCATGTACAGTTACAGTCAGTGGCATGCAGCCTTCAGCGCAGTTACCGTTAGTGGCACGTACAGTTACAGTCAGTGGCATATACAGTTACAGTCAGTGCTTGTACAATGACAGTCAGTGGCAGGTACAGTTACAGTCAGTGGCATGTGCAGTTACAGTCGGTGGCATGTACAGTTACAGTCGGTGGCAGGCACAGTTACAGTCAGTGGCACGCACAGTTACAGTCAGTGGCACGCACAGTTACAGTCAGTGCCACGCACAGTTACAGTCAGTGCCACGCACAGTTGCAGTCAGTGGCACTTACAGTTACAGTCAGTGGCACACTCTTCAATGGTCCCACGCCCATCTATTTCACCTAGTCCCTGATCTACCTGGTTAATCTAGCCTAAGGCCCACCTGGTTCATTTAGTCCCAGGCCCACCTAGTTCATCTAGTCCCGGGCCCACCTAGTTCATCTAGTCCCAGGCCCACCTAGTTCATCTAGTCCCGGGCCAAACCTAGTTCATCTAGTCCCAGGCCCACCTAGTTCATCTAGTCCCAGTCCCACCTGGTTTATCTGGTCCCAGGGCCCACCTAGTTCATCTAGTCCCTGGTCCACCTAGTTCATCTAGTCCCAGGCCCACCTGGTTCATCCAGTCCCAGGCCCACCTAGTTCATCTAGTCCCAGCCCCACCTAGTTCATCTAGTCCCGGGCCCACCTAGTTCATCTAGTCCCAGGCCCACCTAGTTCATCTAGTCCCAGTTCCACCTGGTTTATCTGGTCCCAGGGCCCACCTAGTTCATCTAGTCCCAGGGCCCACCTGGTTGATCTGGTCCCTGGCCCACCTGGTTTATCTGGTTCCGGGGCCCACCTGGTTTATCTGGTCCCTGGCCCACCTAGTTCATCTGGTCCCAGGCCCACCTGGTTTATCTGGTCCCAGGGCCCACCTGGTTTATCTGGTCCCATGCCTACCTGGTTTATCTGGTCCCTGGCCCACCTAGTTCAACTGGTTCCAGGCCCACCTGGTTTATCTGGTCCCAGGGCCCACCTGGTTGATCTGGTCCCATGCCCATCTGGTTTATCTGGTCCCTGGCCCACCTAGTTCATCTGGTCCCAGGCCCACCTGGTTTATCTGGTCCCAGGCCCACCTGGTTTATCTGGTCCCATGCCCACCTGGTTTATCTGGTCCCTGGCCCAGCTGGTTTATCTGGTCCCTGGTTTATCTGGTTCCGGGGCCCACCTGGTTTATCTGGTCCCATGCCCACCTGGTTTATCTGGTCCCAGGCCCACCTAGTTCATCTGGTCCCAGGCCCACCTAGTTCATCTAGTCCCTGGCCCACCTGGTTTATCTGGTCCTGGGGCCCGCCTGGTTTATCTGATCCCTGGCACACCTGGTTTATCTGGTCCCTGGCCCATCTGGTTTATCTGGTCCCAGGTCCACCTGGTTTATCTGGTTCCGGGGCCCACCTGGTTTATCTGGTCCCGGGGCCCACCTGGTTTATCTGGTCCCAGGCCCACCTGGTTTATCTGGTCCCAGGCCCACCTGGTTTATCTGGTCCCAGGGCCCACCTGGTTTATCTGGTCCCAGGCCCACCTGGTTTATCTGGTCCCGGGGCCCACCTGGTTTATCTGGTCCCAGGCCCACCTGGTTTATCTGGTCCCAGGGCCCGCCTGGTTTATCTGGTCCCTGGCCCACCTGGTTTATCTGGTCCCGAGGCCCACCTGGTTTATCTGGTCCCAGGCCCACCTGGTTTATCTGGTCCCGGGGCCCACCTGGTTTATCTGGTCCCGGGGCCCACCTGGTTTATCTGGTCCCTGGCTCACCTGGTTTATCTGGTTCCGGGGCCCACCTGGTTTATCTGGTCCCAGGCCCACCTGGTTCATCTGGTCCCAGGCCCACCTAGTTCATCTAGTCCCAGGCCCACCTAGTTCATCTAGTCCCAGGCCCACCTAGTTCATCTAGTCCCGGGCCCACCTAGTTCATCTAGGCCCACCTAGTTCATCTAGTCCCAGGCCCACCTAGTTCATCTAGTCCCAGCCACCTAGTTCATCTAGTCCCGGGCCCACCTAGTTCATCTAGTCCCAGGCCCACCTAGTTCATCTAGTCCCAGGCCCACCTGGTTTATCTGGTCCCAGGCCCACCTAGTTCATCTAGTCCCAGGCCCACCTGGTTTATCTGGTCCCGGGGCCCCAGCCCGCAGTTGGGTCTGGGCGCGGGGGAGGAGCGCAGGAATTCCATGCACGTTTGGTTCCAGGAGGAATAAAAGCTGTCCCCGGGGGAGATGAGGATGGGGAGGCAGTCGGGGTGCTGGGGGAAGAGGGGGAGTGAGGGGGGATGGGATGTTGGGGGGGTAGAAATGCTCCATCATTCACTGGCTTCATTATTAATTCGAAGAATTAGGAAAAATATAACTCGATCAGTACTCACTGCAGTGAGTGACAGAGAGCGCATTTTCTCGTCGAAGGAAAACGTGAAGTCACGAACGGACAGACAGACGGACATGACGAGCACAATAGCGCCTTTTTTCCATAAATGAGAAAATGCGCTAAAAACAGAAAACCAAAGCAAGGACAAATCAGCAAAGCAGCATGAAACTTATCTATTTGTATCGATTTGATAAGAAGTGTACTACACGGCATCAAGACGAGGTTTCCGTTTGAAATTATACAACGATTATTAATCGGCGTGAATGGGGCAGATGGGCAAGCGGCAGATTAGATCGATAAGGAAACTAAAATGATTAGCCTAGAATTTTGAAGTGATGATGGAGCTGGTCTTCAAAACGTTATCATAAAAAATATGATAAATTTACTTTGCGTTATCTTTGCTTATCTGTTGTTGGCGAATATCATCACATATCATTAGGAGCACTAGCATTACAAGGATGTAAATTAGTATGAAGCATGAATATCTAAAAATATAATGATAGTAGACTATTTTAAGGAAACTTAGCATAATAGTATATAAAAAAAGGAAAAATGTCAGAATAAAACTTAATATTAGAAAATATTTTGCTTTGTTAAGAAAATTATGAAGCGAGAATTTTAAAAGAAAACTTAATAATCGTGTTTTTACTATTTTACTCTACTTTATATTACCTACTTTATATTGTTACTTTATAAACATTACTCTAATATTTATACTCAACTCGTATATTAAAATCATTATTAGAATTACCATTATAAGAAAGATATATTCACTTTAATATTAAATAGTATAAAATATATAATATTATAAATCACCTTCATCACTCACCCGTCAGGTCATGGTCCAGGAACTGTCCCCACTGCATCACCATCATCGTGATGCGGGACGAGGGGCGGTTGAGGGGACGGTGGACGGTGGACGACACCCGCCGGGGGTTGGGGAGCTCGCCCCCCCGCACTGACTCCCGCAGCTGCTCGATCCCATCCCTGAGGGGGTTATTAAATTATTAAATAAATAAATTATTAATTAAAATAATTATTAAATTAATAAATAATCAAATACATTATAATATTGGGATATGTAAATGCCGTCCCTGGCGGGAGGCGGGGGGTTATTAGTATATTATATTAATAAATAATAATATTCTATATAATTGCTCGATACCATCCCTGGCGGGGGGCGGGGGGGTTGTTGGTATGTTATATTGATAAATAATAATATTCTATATAATTGCTCGATGCCGTCCCTGGGGGGCCGGGGGGGGTGTTAATAAATTATTAAATAAATAAATTATTATTTAAAATAATTATTAAATTAATAAATAATAAAATACCATAAAATATCGGGATATGTAAATGCCGTCTCTGGGTGGGGTTTATTAGAGTATTAATGAAATAAATTATTATTTAAAATAATTATTAAATTAATATATAATAAAATACCATATAAAATCGGGATATGTAAATGCCGTCCTTGGGGGGCGGGGGTATATTAAATTATTAATTAAATAAATTATTAAAGAAAATAATTATTAATTATATACATAAATAATAAAGAACTATATAATATTGGGATATGTAATTATATATGCCGATAAGTATATTATATTATATTTCACTATACATATTATTACTTGTGTTTTTATACTATATATAAAAGAAATAAAATACTGTTATATTATAGTATTAATTTTTGTATAGTATTATATCATATTATGTATAATGATAATTTATTATATTACTATTGTGAGTTAACTGCTATACTCATGCTGACATATAATGATGAATAGTGAACCAAAACATAACGCATGTGTTGACGTTACAGTGAAGGGGAACGTAATAGTGAAGAGGGGTACGTTAGTGGTACAGTGAAGGGGGTACGTTAGTGGTACAGTGAAGGGGGAACGTTAATAGTACAGTGAAGGGGGGTACGTTAGTGGTACAGTGAAGGGGGGACGTTAATAGTACAGTGAAGGGGGGACGTTAATAGTACAGTGAAGGGGGTACGTTAGTGGTACAGTGAAGGGGGAACGTTAATAGTACAGTGAAGGGGGTACGTTAGTGGTACAGTGAAGGGGGAACGTTAATAGTACAGTGAAGGGGCTGTCTCTTATACACATCTAGATGTGTATAAGAGACAGGTGTAGGGGGTACGTTAGTGGCACAGTGAAGGGGGTACGTTACTGGTACAGTGAAGGGGGGGTACGTCAGTGGTACAGTGTAGGGGGTACGTTAGTGGTACAGTGAAGGGGTACGTTCAAGAGGGTACGTTACTCACAAATAATCTGGGGGCAGGAACCGTGCGAAGGGCCGAAGGGCGGCGCCCCACTGCGGATGGTCGACGTTATTACAGGACCCGTCCAACGTCCTGTACATGACGCTGTAGGCGGGACAGGGACGTCGGAACGTCGCGTCCTCAGACGTCGACGTCTTGAACGGGCAGGCGGAGAACAGCGCCGTGTTCTGAACACTGACCTGTTCCAGACCGAACAGCGCCTGTTGCCTACTCAGCTGGAACCTGGAACAGGAGGAGGTGTCAGCTGGAACAGGGGGAGGAGTTAACTGGAACAGGGGAGGTGTCAGCTGGAACAGGGGGAGGTGTCAGGTGGAACAGGGGGAGGAGTTAGCTGGAACAGGAGGAGGAACAGCTGGAACAGGGGGAGGAGTTAGCTGGAACGGGGGGAGGTGTTAGCTGGAACAGGGGGAGGTGTTAGCTGGAACAGGGGGAGGTGTCAGCTGGAACAGGGGGGGGTGTCAGCTGGAACAGGGGGAGGTGTCAGCTGGAACAGGGGGAGGTGACTGCTGGAACAGGGGAGGTGTCAGCTGGAACAAAGGGAGGATGTCAGCTGGAATGTAAGTAGGAATATAAGTGAGAATGTGAGTGGGAATGTAAGTGGGAATTTAATTGGGAATGTAAGTGGGCGTTTAATTAGGAACGTAAGTGGGAATGTGTGGGAAAGTAAGTGGGAACGTGAGTGGTAATGTAAGCTGGAATGAAAGTCGGAATGGCAGTGATAATTTACAGTGCTTGTCAGCCGCCAGCAGGATGCCGCTGCAGTTACGTGGAAAGCCAAGCAAGGAAAGTGAAGGTGAAAGTGAAGCAAGGAAAGTGCATTAGCTTGGGAAAGAAGAAAGCGAGTTTCCTGATGCGTTTTCCTTCAGTTTATTTCGACTGCCCCTTCCCAATAAATATTTCAGCGAACACTGAACATGAATTATATTAAAATTTATGGTTACAACAACCCATTTAAATGATTGACCCCTGACAAAACCGGGGCCCCCACCACCGCGGCAGCTACACCCAGAAAAATGGATGGGGCATTTTGTCCAATTAGCGACGCACTTTCTGCTGGTCATATTACTTACTGGCAGGTGGGTCAAGTTACTCACTGTCTGCTCAGCCTCTCAGAGGCGCGTAGGGCGGCGTAGCCAAAGCGCGCGAGTGCGAGACTCTGTTGCTTCTGTCGGTTGAACGCAGCCAGGAACAGACCGGGGTGACTGTTGTTCAACAGGTACCCTGTTGATAGGGAGTGATAGGGGTGAATGTTGTTTAGCAGGTACCCTGTTGATAGGGGGGTGATAGGGGTGACTGTTGTTCAACAGGTACCCTGTTGATAGGGGGTGATAGGGGTGACTGTTGTTCAACAGGTATCCTGTTGATAGGGGGTGATAGGGGTGACTGTTCTTTAACAGGTAATCAGGGGAAGACTCATAGGAGTTGGGGGTGTCAATACCATTGGGGGTCGGACTCTGGGGGGAGCTCAGTTCTGGAAGACTATTATTCTGCAGATAAACACGGGGAGGAGGGAGTATAAAGTCAGGAGTACCACTGTAGCGCAACGGTTAGCGCCGCTATCCGCAATGGTATAGCGGCACCGAGATCAGAGGAACTAATTGCGGGTTCGAACATTACGAAGCTCAGTTCATTTTTTAGTGTGGCTGGTGGCCAGCGCTTGGCAGCCGTTGTTGTAGTTGGTGCCTCGCACCTGGCTTCGGATCACTCCCTAACAAAATTTAGAGGCGAGAGCGACTCTGCATTAGCGCCGCCTAGGACTCGGGGAGCAGCTTGTCCGCTTCGGCTCAGTGTTCGAAGAGCAGCCTCTGGGCAGCATGCTAGTTCGGTATGACTCGGCTCGGCCAACCCTTGTCATGCTCTCAGCCGAAGAGGAGATTCTGACCAGGAACTGATTTTGATCGTGTGGTCAAGAAGCCCTAGAATAACTTTGCGCCGAGTGTAGTGACTATTCGGACGAAACCTATAGGCGGTCCCCGAATTTTGTTAAGGCTGGTCCAGTCATGTCTGGAGCCAGCACACAACCGCTGCTGGGTCTCTACAAAGATCTACGGGGTTGAAGGATGTTCGGTTGTTGACGCGGTTGAAGAGCTGGGACACGTCATCCGGGAAGATCACAGTAGGTGCATACATCATTGATGTTATTGCTGATTCTGCTTTTGTAGCTGCTTAATTAAGAGTATGCGGTGACTGGATCATGCTGGCCTCAGAAGTAATAGTTCTAATTTGTTTATTGTTGGTATTGGAGGAGGCCAGCCGTTGAACTGTAACGGCGCGCGATACGAGTCGATATTGGCATTTCTGCGGAGGATGTTTTATTGTGTTTCTATTGCAGTTAATATCGTCAGGGAATACTAGCTGAATGACGATGATGTATTTTGTGTACAGTGTGTCTTTCAGGTTGTGATATTGGTAGTTCAGTCAGCAGGCAGGTCGAGATCGAGACGATCGAGAGCAGGCAGGTCGGTAAAGACTGCTCCGATGTTGTGAAAAAATGTATGGAGGGGAACTTGGTGGCCGTCGAAAGCGGTGCCTCAGCATGGCTTTGGGTTAGTGTCCTTAAATGAACTCTGGGTACACGGTACTTGGGGAGGACATTGAATGTGATTTTTAGTCAGTGGGGAAGAGGTACATTTTAATGCATTAGATTAAAGATAAGAAATATAATAAATAAATAAAAAATGTGTTCACTTCCCGGTAGGTGACTTCATTTTCGCAACGCAGTTTTTTCATCACTATCCCCTCTCACCCCTCTCACCCCCCTCACGGGGGTGGGGGGTTGTTCCCTCTTATTTGAGGGTTGCCCTCTTCAGCGTCACCAGCTGCCGTGACGTCACCAGCTGTCGTGACGTCACCAGCTGTCGTGACGTCACCAGCTGCCGTGACGTCATCAGCAGGCGTGACGTCACCACCAGGCGTGACGTCATCAGCTGTCGTGACGTCACCAGCTGTCGTGACGTGTAACATCGTCACGAAGATGACGAAAAAATACGATGTAACTCCCACGCAGCTGCCACATGTCTTCATTGTACACAAATTTCACGTAAATTAAATTTATTATATTATATTCCTATATATTTATATTAAGTTCTGTGAAACTGGAGTGTAGCTTAAATCTAACCACATTCGAATCTCAGATTTGCTTAACTCCTACAAATCTGGTGGCAGAAATTAGGGCAATTAACACGCAGTGAATAAAATAAATAATTAGATAATATGATAAATAATAAGGTGATTAAGTAATATAAATTAAGCATTATTTATTTAAAAATTAGAGTCAAACCCCCATTTTGTAGTTCTTTGCATAGTAGATAAAAACATCACCGAAATACGCTGACCAACTTAACTGACGGTAGATTTGTGATTTAATTTGCTTGACTGAATAAATAAATAAATCGTTGGCTAATAAATTCCGTACAACAGTGCACATCCGACCATGGGATGACCCCTGCTGATAGGGGATGTACGTTCCGAAAGTTCGAGGGAGAGAAAGTTACTCAAAGTTTCCCACGGTAACTTTCCCACGCGCCAAGCGAGGTCCGAATTAAAATGAATTTTATCCATTTTTTTCTGGCGATAGAAATGGAAGTAGGTGATTGTGACCGTTATCTGCCTGGTAATGACGTGATCTGCAGAGGTAATGACGTGATAATTGCTAGTTCTAGTGACCAGTCACTAATTCAGTTTTGTTTAAGTTACTACTAGTTCTATTAGTTATTAGTTATGTTCAAGTTACTACTATTAATAGTTCAGCTAAGCTCCTAGACCACAAGGATCAGGCGAGTCTCAATCTAAAAGTTCAACCTATAACCTAAATGATCTTACAGTAAAATTGGAATTGCATGGATGTAATATTTTGTGCTTTTCTATGTACTAAATTTGTCTTTGTTTAGGCTTGTCTATGTACTAATTTTAAATAAAATTGAAGTTTTTAACTGCTGGACAATCGCCTACAAGATTCTTCTTGTACAAATAAAAGTTGCACAAAAGTAAATGAAAATAAAAGTTCAAATGAATTGAAATCAGCCTATCCCCCATGTCTTGAAATTGTCAGTATTTGTAAAACTTAAAATACATTTCTTTGTTTTTGATTAGGATGAATAATTTTTATTGTTAATTAGGGTTGATTGAGAAAAAAACACCTTCAAAACTGCTGGTGAAGATATCACAAGTGTTGCACTCAGAAATATGAGCGAAATTATGTCCAGTTTTTTTTTTTTACCCAGTTTTGCCGGGCAAAAGGGCGTATCCTCTGCTAGTGCTGTGAGTAAGAAAGTGTCTCACAATTTCGACTATATGACCTATTTATATTTATTTGTGCGGTATTCAGTTCATGTAAATTGAATGAATGGAAATCAACTGAACGTAAATGTTTAAAAAAATGAATTGGTGGTCATAGAATGTATGGTAATTTGATCTCCGTAATTAGTGTGGTACTTATTTAATTATATAATTACATGGACCACTGGAGACGCGGGCTAAATAGACCACGGGTTGAAAAAATACGGGAGGAGAGCGGGTTTTTCAGCCCACCGCCCCACTTGAGTCGCGGGCGTGACGCGAGAAACCGTGTCACGGGGGGGAGGGGGAGAGGTTAGGGGTGGGGGGTTATTTTTCGCTTATAACAAATTTTGTTACATGTATGAAATGCTGGCTAGGTAGACTAAGCGGACTAGGTAGACTAGGGAGGCTAGGTAGACTATGTAGATTAGGTAGACTAGGTAGACTAGGTAGATAGGTAGAATAGGTAGAATAGGTAGACTAGGTAGACTAGGTAGACTAGGTGGACTAGGTAGACTAGGTAGGCTAGGTAGACTAGGTATACTAGGTAGACTAGGTAGAATAGGTAGACTAGGTAGACTAGGTAAAATAGGTAGACTAGGTGGACTGGTAACTAGGTAGACTAGGTAGACCAAGTAGACTAGGTAGACTAGGTAGGTTAGGTATAGCCTAAATAGACTAGGTAGATTAGGCAGATTAAGTTTGGAAAGTTATTAATTAACTTCAAGGCGAATTTTACAGAATTAGAGAATTTTTATCGTCGTGATTGAACGAATCGGATAAATGGTAGATATTTCCGCATCAGTCATGTCGAACTTTCTTCTAACATGCGAATTTAATTTGTTGTATGAATTAGGATCCTTCACTGCTGAATGTTTATTGCACGCACCGTTAATTATTTGGTCCGGACCCAACCAATTCGTCCCTTCCTGGCACTCGATTATTAATTTATCTTATCAATTATCGCCTTGACCTTGACTCGGGCCGAGTGGTTTCATCAATTTAAACATTAAATCAATTAATTAAAATAATTAGTAAATTTTAATTAAATTAATAAATTAATTAAAACCCGACCCAGGTTCATAGTGGTGGTAGATTTGGATATTCCAGCCACGCTCGAAACCATTCGACCATCAAAGGATTGAGCAGAATGAAGGCAAACCATACCGGCCATGCACCAAAAAGGCACATGAAACAATAGCATTAAAAATCTTACCTTCCAGTTATGATGGACCTCGAGCAAAGAACCAAGTTGTATTAAATGCGCACCAACCAGAATGAATTTACACATTAAAGTGCGCTACATCTGTCCACATTGGTGCATACCTCTCATACCAAAGCAGACCTCTATATCTGTATCTTAACCCTCTACCACCTTTTCATGAGTAACCGGGGCAATATTGTCACGAGCCTACTTCCCAAAAAGGATACGTTCTAGTGAGCGCAAAATGACTTGCACTGATGGTTGCCGCCACGTACGACAACTTTAAAATGTTCTCTGTTGCGTACAAACGTCCTCAGGTTGCTACACTCAATAGTCTACATATAATTCAAGTTGAAAGTTGTGTTCCCGGAGAGTGACATACGGCGGTAGGAAGGTTAAGAGTCCGCTTCACTGCATGGCTTTCGATATTCTAACCGCACCTGTTTTAATTTCCCCCTAGTTCCTGGGATAACATGTTCCCATGTATAATCGTCTCTTTCAAGTGAAATGGTTTAATGCAACAATTAATTTTTTATCACAAACAGCAATATCTTAGAAGGTTGGTATTATTAGCAGCATTTAGTGTTATAGCCTATATAGGGGAGAATTCGGGCACAAATCTGAGACGCTGAACATAATTGAAAAAATAACTACCATATTAAAATATCAAATGCTGAGCAGTTAACTTGTATTTCACAGTTAAATATAGTTATATTTTTATGCTATATTCTTATTTTTGTATTTTAATATTTTTACTTATTTCTTCAAAACGTTGAAGCTTAAGCTGCTGTAAAGCGCCTGGTTCAAATCTTGAATGAATTAAATATTGAACACATGCTTTATTGAAATTATAGTAGAAAATGGCGTAGAAAGAATAATTGTTCGTAAAAAACAGTAAGCTGAAATGAGGTCTACGTAAAACTTCTAATGACGAATTAAAGGTTATGAAGTATTTTTCAACACGTTATCGTGGTTCATCAAACGTGTTCAACAGCAACGATAACAACGTTGCACCGGAGTACAGGGATTCACTCCCCCATGATGAATGCGGTGGAGTGAGATGGAAAAGATGGAATAGTACTGGATGATGGAAAATGATGGAAGCAATGGGGATGGGTAGGGGATTAGGCTTATGACGACCATCGACCAATTTTATAATTATTATTATCATTATTTTGACACGCGTTCGCACCTCATTTTCAGGAAAAATTCTGTGCCTTTAATTTCCGTGTATCAAACGGAAATTAATGTTTTTTTCTGTATATTTCAGTGTATGATAGTAGTCGTCCTATTGTATGGTTTCAGCTCCATACATCAAATGATAGATGATAATAATCATTATGTCAACGCAGGGATGATATTCCATCGCCGGTCATTTCCACCCTGGCTATGCGGAGGCCAATTGGCCAACCGTACAATGCCGCAACCAAACAAGTTCATCAAAAATGCTGGCTAATATATTAACTTGAAATAATTTTACCTAAATTATACGGGCACAAAAACATCGGAAATTATTTAGCCGTTGAACTCGCGATCGCAGCGCAGCAGTCACGAAATTGTTGAAGATTATGGTTCGTGCGGCGAAGAACGATACCTAACATTATAGAGTCACGTTCTAATATTATAGTGTCACGTCAAGATCTAATGG